AGCTTATTGTCGAGGAAAAAAAGAAAAAAAGAAAACAAAAAAGAGAAAAGAGAATGAATGTACGGAAAGAGAAAAAAAAAAAAAAAAAAAAAAAAAAAAAAAAAAAAAAAGAACTGTGTATCTACGAGTGATCGTTCAACAGGCCGCATTGTAACTGTTAAGTCTTTGCGCAGATGATCCGCAAAGATCGTGACTAACCGCCCAATGTCGTTCGTAGCTTCGTAAACGTGAGTAAACTGTGACGTTGCTCGACGCTTGTCAAAACGGAACATTGCTCGATCGTTCCTGAAAAATCGATTCTCGAACCACTCTCCGTCAATATATATATATACATTTTTTTCTTTTTTTTTTTATTTTCCGTGTCTCTTTGCTTGACATCCGTAGTCTATGCGTTGGATCAGAAGATCCAACTGTTCCAACACGCGGAGGAATCGATTTTTTCTACGGAAACGACGAAAAGTACCGTGGTCTTTGGTTCTCCAGCTCGCATCTTGGCGACGGCTGTGCTTCTCCGGCTGTCGCGAAGCCGCGAGCTCGATCGTTCTCTCGTACAATCGAGCAACATCGATTATACGAAGTTTCGCGGCTCGACAAGTTCGAGGGGAGAGCTAGAAGGGATACTGCATGTGTCACAGCAATGCGCACCGTGAGTTCTCGGAAGCGTTGACGCGCGCGACATCCCAAACAGTAGGTGTTCTTTCTTCTCTTCTTTTTTTGTTTCTTCTCTTTTTTTTTTCTTTTTGTTTGTTTATTCTCTTGTACATCTGTCGCCAATTGCAATCAGAAAGGAAAGAGAGAGAATGAGAAAGACGAAAAAAGAACGAAACGAAAGTTGAGAAACAAGAGAACAAAACTATAGAATTCGAACATTCAGCCTGAGATCAAGTATCTGATGAACATGTTAATTAATCGATCTTCCTTTTTTCTGTTTCTTCAACGCTCTAGTTGTTCAGGATTAAGCCTCTGCCAGTGTTAGTAAGTACCGCCACTTGATCTGGTGTGATTGGACTGCTGTAGTTAGAAGGCTATGCGTTTATCATATACATATATATATTATATATATATATATATATACATATCCACATTACATATTACGTTTGAACACACGCATATTGTGTACCGTGTGCGGTGTGAGTCTGAGTAAATAAATATCCGAACGGAATACGCTCGATGCTAGAACGTGAGTTTAATCGTGTGTTTGATCATTTTCCTTTTTTGTAATTCTGGTTTTCCTCCGTTTTCTTTTTTTTTTTCTTTTTTTTTAAATTTTGTTTGCTGCAACCTTAGCGTGGAGTTTAACGACTAATTTGTCACATGTTTGTTATATTTGTTTGTTATAATTGGTGCGTTTGGAAATGGAATAACTATGTGTAACGTCACGTCGAGAGAAAAAGAAAAACCGCTTGACATTGATTTTTGACAAAAAAGAGACGCATTTCGTTCGCAGAATTACGAAGAGCACGTTATCTTTTTTTCCGCAGCGAGATGTGGATTTGAAGAGTCTCTTTGAACTGAACTCTGAAATTTACCCAGACCCAAGCTGCACGATCATTCGATCACCGTACCATACCATACCATACCATACCATACCATACCATACCATACGCCATCGCAAGAAAGTAGGCTTCTACTTACTCCATCCGTTCCCTGCATTTTTCAGTCCTTCGTTTTCTTAGTCCAATCTTATCTTGCAGCGGTTCCAGCAAAGTCTGTTACAAAGTTCTCGTGAAAGACATCCTTGTCTCTCATTTTTATTACTTATCCCGTTCATCTTCTTCCCATCGTGTCTGTCGACCTCTTTTCACCTAGTCACGCCTAAACTTTCACGAAAGTCTTCCTTTTTTTTTTTTTTTTACTTGCTAATGCAACGAAAAACACTGTTATGGCGAGCCTCGTAGTCACTGAAAGGCGTAGATGATTGCGCGAACCATTGAACCATCACGTTAGACTTAGCCGTAGAGACTGGGCCTGTACGAATACGTCAAATCTCTCCTAACCTCTCGCTCTTCGACTTCTCAACTAGACTGTCTTATTGTACGCTTGATCCATCGTTTCTTACCGATTTATCTTGTTCCCTGTTTATCTAGTGTTTCTATGTAAGATTAAACTGGATGGAAATTGCTACTCGATGGAATCAGTCAAGCCTATCGGTCGTGTCTCAAAGAAAGTCTTTATTATCTTCGATCTGGTGTTCTCTTTGTGACAGTGACGAAATACTATTCGACGAATACGAGAAATACGAGTGAAGTTTCCCAATTTGAAAGTTTTTCAAGCTATTTCGCGTGATTCCACGAATACGCGAAATGCCGCGTCTGTCTGGACGATAAATCGTTCGTCCATCATAAATTCATTCTAGTCGAAACGAGCTTTTTTGTACTTTAGTCTGCTTTTGTTGTTGTGACGGTGTTGTTCACTATACACGCTTTGTTGATCTTTTCTGAAAAAAAAGATAGAAGATTCTCGAATTATACGATTTTCGATTTTCGAGCGCTTAATTGTTCTAATTCCACGTACATTTAGCATGAATACTCAACCAACTATTCACTTCGAACTTTAATTAATTCATTAACAATAATTCTAATTGACAATTACGACAATCTTTTGTATGAACGTTATCTTCTCTATAAACATCTTCGAATTCATAAAACATGCATGACTACACGTCAGTAGCATTCACAAAATTTCCATTCGCGTGTTCATAAAAAGAAAGGGAAAGGAAAGGAAGAAAAAAAGAGAGAATCCGTATAGTTCGTATTTCAAACCACAAGGAAAACTCATTTTTTCCACTCGGACGAGCTTTATTTAAAAAGGTTCTTTCAACGAGCAGCTGAAAAGACTTTCTCCCTAATCGGCTGCAAACCCGCTAATAATTCGACCGATCCGACGCTTCGGCCATTCAAATGCTCTTCATCCACCAAAAAATGAAGAAAGAAATCATCATCGAGGAAAAAATATTCGAAAACGCTGGCCACGGTCGAAATTCATGGAGTTAATTCGCGCAGAGCCGTCGTTATAATTAACGACAGATGACCTGGAAAAGCGAAGTTTTCAGGGACAGAGAGAGAGAGAGAGAGAGGGAAACAGAGAGAAGTATATTCGTATAGGGCTGGTCTCTCACACACACCTCACAGACCTCATTACTCACCACATACACATATACACACACACATACCTCTTACTTATCCACCGTCTCTCTTTTGAATTCATTACGAATCATCGTCGGCATATTTCCTCGATTGCGAATGATACGCGCCGCAAGTCAGATGGCATTTTTTATTGTCACTCAGCATTATTATTCTATTCCTATACGTATGCCGTATTTCTTATTCGCACATTTGAACTGTAGTGCCCGAATGCATAATCTGCATATCGCGCATCTTTCAAGCGTGTACGTATGTGTACGTATGTGGCGTGCGTGTGTGTGTCGGTGTGCTGTGTACGTACCACTGTGCCAGCATCTAGTGCTTCAGCTTATTGTCGAGGATAAAAAGAAAAAAAGAAAACAAAAAAGAGAAAAGAGAATGAATGTACGGAAAGAGAAAAAAAAAAAAAAAAAAGAAAAGAAAAAGAAAACAGAAGGCGAGTTACTTCTATCAAGAAGAGTATGCATCGGTAGATGAACGACCGTTGCACTGATTTTAATACGATACCATTTACTAATGACAACCGAGAATCGTGTAACTGTTCACAAACCAGTGTCGTGTTCAACTTTTTCATCTGACCCGCTACATGCGAATGTACGTGTAAATAGAGAACGATAGCATTTCAAGTCGATCGATCACGTCTGATCGCTCTGACAGACTTCCAATGCGATTCGATAGTTTTCTTTTCTGTTTTTGAATGGACTGTTAACAATTATCATACTAACACCGCGCGTGACTACGCAAAACGCTTTACGAATAGAGCGACTTATCACTTTCGATGACGATTAATTCTGCTGTTCTGTTTGTGAATTGAAATAGAGAAGCTTCTTAGAAGACAGTGTTCGGCAATGCGACCCATGAGTAAGAATAGGAAGAGTTCTCTGTAAATTTTATTAGCGTTTGCCAGATTTCGAAGCGCGATAGTCATCGGTCGAATTGGATAAAACAGACAGTGTAATTTCGTTGGTTTAATTACTTTTTGACACGGCGTGATTCCAATTTGTAGTCGAAAATTTAATTTTTCCGTGTTAATTGAGCGATAAAAAAAAACGAATTTTTATTCCCGCGAGAATTTTAATATTTCGTTAATAGAAAAAAAAAAAAGAAACAAATTCAATATTCCGCCGCAGTAAATGTAAAGTGAAATCAATAGAAGGCGAATCGGAATTTTTTTATTAATCCTACGAAAATATTTTTTTCACTTGATGGATAAACACAGGAATTTGACGAACGGGCTATTTTTATTTCATTCTCACTCAGTGATCGTATTGCCGAAATTGAGCGAATGTTCGAAACACTTTGTTACAAAAATGCCATTCGTAACGTTCATTGCATTTCAAACGACCGAACTCTTCCCGCCTATATTCAATCAGTTGAAACGTTCGTAAAGTGTTTTTCCGATGCTTCGGAGGTGTGAATGATTCGTGCTACGCATCGATCGCTGATCGCCTAGGCCATTCAAGCTGACAGAAAGATCTCGTCGTAAATGCCTATATCGCTTACTCGCTGTTAAACGATAACTGTTGAACGCTGCTAACTAGACCGGAGAGAAAAGAATGGAATGGTTACCCTCAGTGACAACAATTTCATTGAAAAACAAAAGAGAAAAGAAAAAAAAAGAAAAAAGAAAACGATGTTGTACACGCTGTTTTTTTGCAAGAGTTACCGCCAGCGCCAAATCGCTTAACGTCTGTCGCATTCTCCGCTTACTTTTCGCAGCAGCGTTTCGATTGATACGACCCCCAATAGCGTAAACCTTAGGCTAACGTAAGTAGCATCGACGCAGCGATCGATGAACGCCGTAGAACGAACGTTTCGCCGACGCGTTTTAGGCCAACGATTAATTTACCTTCAATGTGATTCTCTATTAACCTAAAATGCTCTCAGTGATCTGAGTGTGAACATTGTCGAGTGTCATCCTGCCAGCATCCGTAACTTTTTACGATCACCATATCACCAAAGAAAAAAAAAAAAAAAAGAAAAAGAAAACCAAATTTCTGCACCTATTGAACTTGTTTTTTTCTTTTTTTCGTCCTTTTTTGATTTTTGTCTGTCTCTTGTCGAGTCACAGTAACGTTTTTCTTCTTCTTTTTTTTTTTTTTTTTTTTTTTTTTTTTTTTTTTTTTTTTTTTNTTTTTTTTTTTTTTGAGCAGTGTCAAGAACCTCTCGATGTCATTTCACCGATTTCATGTAGGATCACTGATACAGCAACCAATCGAAAACGCGACGTCCGCGTGACGAACACGGTTGAGTTAAAGCTAACGATCGAACGTTTCTGCGCCAACAGATATTCGTTCGAGCGCAATTTGACTACGATCCGCTGGAGGACGAGCTGATACCGTGCGCGCAGGCTGGAATCGCGTTCAAGACCGGCGACATTCTGCAGATCATCAGCAAGGACGATCATTACTGGTGGCAGGCGCAGAAGGACAACGCGGCCGGATCCGCGGGGTTGATCCCTTCGCCTGAACTTCAGGAACGGCGTATCGCGTACATGGCAATGGAAAAGAACAAGCAAGAACAAGGTAACGACTGAACAATCGACGTGGTCAATTTTATTTGTAGGCAAGCGTTTCGTTTCGTTTCTGTATTTTTTTTTTTTTTAAATCATAGTCGTTCTTTTAAAATCACGGGATATTATTTTCAGTTGTAACGCACGGAATGTTCCATTTTTTCTCTTTTTTTTTCCTCTTTTTTTCCTTTTTTTTTTTTTTTTTTTTTTTTTGCTTCGAAGTCTCTTTTTTTTTTTATATCAAACGAATTCAGAAATTGAAAAATTGTCGAAATTCTCGTTTTACGCGAGCTTGACAAAAGTCACAGTCTAATTAATTTTATGGAGGAGGATCGTTCAGTTTCGGAAAATTAGTTGCGAATTTTTTGATGAAGGGAATTTTTTTAACGTGTAGGAAGTTAATGCGAACGAAATTGGACATTTCGTTTTGTTACATTTTGTTACATTTCGTCTGATGATATGAATATTTGATAATTATTATTATCGCGAGGAAACGGAATTGAATAGCGAGATTTTTGAGCTGACGTTTTACGTTCGAGATTAACTTTCAGTGAGATGAACTAACATTCAGTAGATATAAAGTAATGTACAATTTCATTCTTTCTTTATACACGGGATAGTCTGTTTACCTATTCCACTTAAAATATCAGCTATTTTCAATGATTCGTATAATATCTTCTTCAAGATCTTTTATAATTTTTAGTCTACATTTCGATAAGAAAGTTCAAAAGTTTCATTGATTTTTCGTAACACTATCCGAAAGTAGCTACTGAGAATTTACATTAAAATGGCGTTTACTATATAAGATACTACAATATCTCCTTTTAATTAGCAAAATTTTACTTAACGAACTCAAAATATTTATCACGTCACTACTTATTATCGAATAAAATTTCAATTTATTTCTCACTCGATTGTGTTACTTAAAAAATTTCAACATTTTTGAAAGCACGCGTAGTTTTATCAATTCTCCCTCTATATACTATCTTACAAAATCGAACCTGGCTACCAAGAGGATTTGATCGTATGAAGGATAGAACACGAAAAGCAAACGTAATTAGCTTCCATATGTGCAGCAGACAAAGAATCATTCTATTTCTTTCTCTCTCTCTTTTTCTCTCTATTTCTCTCTTTCTCTCTCTCTCTCTTTTTCTCTCTTTTCCTCTCTGTCTCATCGTGTAGCCTAGCATCGAGAGAGTTCAGGATAATTATAGGTTCCAGCAGATCGCATTCTGTGTGATATTCAGAAACGGAAAGCGAAAACGAAATTTTTTTTTTCGCCGCGTCTCTACCATCGTATTATGCATTGCCGTATCCATTATCAAACCCCGTCACGTTCGATTCTTCGATTAATCTCCGCTACTCTCGCTACTGCCATGAAACGAACGTGCTGGTGAATATGATGTCATGTATGTGTTGTTAGATGTGCGCAAGTTTTCAATGGAGCATGTAGTATCGTTCGATGTCAGTCGTGTCGATACACGATACGGGTTCGCGAAAAATCTACCAAGTTCATTTCGCGCGTGTATGGTGTGCGTGCGTGTGTGTGTGTTTCTTCTCTCTCTTTCTCTCTCTCTCTCTCTCTCTCTCTCTCTCTCTCTATCTATCTATCTATCTATCTATCTATCTATCTATCTATCTATCTATCTATCTGTATTTCTCCGAGTGATTATAAAAGTTGAGTGTTTCTCAATGACTGATCGTGCGTGATTACAGACAATGGAATTGCAATTTTGATTTAAATGATTCGGGAATACAACTCGCGGAACTTTTTGCGGCAGCAATCCTGTATAAACGAAGGATTAATTTATTATTCATCTTGATATATGTGTGTATGTGTGTGTATGTATACTTGTTTCGATCGTTTCGTTCCTCGAAATGGTACGTGAATATTTCAGACTTTCTCAGTGTAACATTTAGAATTTAGAATTTACGTACACTAAGAATCGAGAAATTATGAAACATTGGAGGATTGTGAAATTCAAGTATAAAATAATTATCTTATATTATTTCAATTTTGTCGAACCGAGCTGTTCAGTCTTTGTTACTCCGGGCATAATTCTCCCGCTAATTAAAAAATAACGAAAACGAAAGAAGAGAGAAACACGTAGATTCGAGGAATCTTTAATTTCACCTGCGACAGTGATTCCAACAATTCTGCGGGCTCCAACATTCGCCGCGCAGAGTCGCTATAATTTTTCTCCTCGTCCCTCTGCTGTAAATAGAGATCTACATATTTTTACTACTTCGATCTCTACGAACGACCCGAAACCGACTAAGAATAGAAGAGACTAGGAAAAATGATCGCAGAAAGTATGTTCAGTCGGAGAACCGCGAATCATGATTAGCGAGACGAGATGGTAGGCCGAGAATGAGACATGATTAGCTTCAGTGATACAGCTGTTGTTTTGTGTTGTGCGGGGCTAGATGCTGAAGGAGAAGGAGGATGTTCCTCTCACACCGAAGGCTGCGACGGTTCGACAGGTATGACTCTGCCTTCAGGTAGACAACGCGTAGAGTCACGTAGAACCGTGTAGTCCGCATGAAATACAAAGTATATACTCAGTCTCCGTGCTTTCAAACACACGCATTAATTTGACGACGAATGGAGAAGGAGAATCATTGTTCTTCTCCGTGGGAGTGAAACATTTAAGAGAGAAACTTGCCGCTGTGTATCTGTTTTTTCGAAAGACAGGCGAACTGGCCTCGAGCCTCGTCGATCAGAGACCCCTCTGTGTTTTATGGTAATTTCATTGAAATATTCTAAACGTACATACGCGCGTACATTTATTTTTTTTTTTCTTTTCTTTTCTTTCCTCTTTTCACACGTCGTGTCGAATCATGCAACGCATCTCATTATCACGAATCGCGCGAATCGCGCGTAACCTGGCGCACGGATATATTTAACGTTCAAGATTCACGGTTCAATGGAATGACGAGTGACAGAAGTAGGGAATGATGGAGGGAATATTTTCCATTTAACAAACTTCGCGTGTCGTTCTGGTCTCGTTCTGGTTTTTCAGTGACAAAGCTTTGGAAACGGCCGGTTTTATTGTCTATTAATACGCACGCGTTGTTCGCTGCTGCGTGGAGTTTTGTTGAAGTTTCGAACGATAAATTACATATTGTTTTTGGCGAACGGAAGTTATATTATTTTGCTATTGTCGCTACGTTCGTGGACCGTAAAATAAAGTATACATTCGGAAATCAGATTCAAATAAATTGCTAATACACGATTATGAGATAATTAACAATCCAGCACATGTGTAATAACAACATATGTGTATTGTTAGTCGAAATTTGCAAATTTCATATCTGAAATTTTACTATTAGAAAATAATATAAAGTAATGTATAATATTACTTTCATCATTCTCTACCATCTCATACTTGATCAATCAGTGTTCTTAACTTTGAAATATTTCGTACTTAACTAAAGTAGCTAAAAGTCCAGATTAATTTTTTTTTTTTTTGTACTATTGATATAATCTATAATCTAGAATCTATCTAATTTTGAAACGTCCTAATTGAAACAGAAAATTAAGAATGCTGTTGTTAATACAGTATTAATGTCACTTTTGTGCTTAACCGAGTTAATCTCTTGGAATAAAAGTTTCTGCTATAAATTTCTCATTCATTGTGTATATATTGCAACTTATATCTTTCACAACTGAAAGAGAAAGTAAACAAGTCTTGACTGAAACAGTTACATTCTATGTGTCACGATGTAAAGAAGACAAATAACATTACCATGTTAATGAAGTCTCTCATATGGATCGAATTGTAAGATAATAAAAACACTTTGTCCGATGAAGTTTTGACAAAGTAGATCTTCCCTTTTTTTTATATCTTGCTCCTTTGTTTCAATATTTTACTTTGTACAGCGAGTTACTCTACGTAATACAGAACATGCTTTCACGCGGCGTGCTTCGATGCATGCTTTCGCTAAACGTTTCACGCACTTACGCTTGTTTCGCACGACACCACTCGCAAGCACATCGTCGCAGCATTATTATGTTGAGACTTTGAACGTAGAATTTCCATGAAGACCATTCCCCCCAAGACCATTCAATCCTCATTTCGAACGTCACCTTCCCTCTCGCAAGAACGAACTACAAAAAACTCGTGTAAATTACTTGTAATATTTTCACATTATTTAGACATTATTCTCATATCATTGCAAAACCAACGGAACAATTCAACAGAGTGTCTTGGAAAGATTGGTATGAAAGAATTTAAATATAAATTCTATATAATTATAGTTAAAATCGAGGGAAAAGATTATGAAACGTATCTTTGTAAAATTATATACTAATATAAAAAATATAATAATAATGAAACGTATCTTTGTAAAAATATAATTCAACTTGGCACTTGTGCTAGTAATATAAAATATAATTATATGGTAAAGTAAATTTACGATCAGTATATATTTATATATTGTACAATGTAATCTAAAAATTTTGTTGAATGAATTTGCTAATTTATAATATCTTTTTTAACATTATCTTGTGCACACGCGTACTTCAGCGTATAAAACTTATCTTGAAATTGGCAATCCAACTCTTTCGCACAATACTCCGTTTCAACTCCCCAAAATTATTGTATTTGTATAAATCGTATAAAATAAGCATCTGCCTCATTCACTCTGGGAATGAGCCAACCAATAAAATAAAACTAATGTTATATAAATTAAACGAAATCCTTTGAATGATCTGCCAGTTGTAAATCCGTTCAAGCTCGTCATAATCATGCTCTGATCGTGACACGGATTTTCAAAGATCTCACACACGCATACACACGTACACGCTACATACATATATACTACACAGAGAAACTATCCGAGAATATGCCCTTAAATTTTCATCTTGTGACCTGCTGGAACGCCCATCTCAGTGGGAATCCCACGCCCTCCTTTATGGTTATGGCTTCTATGTAAAACTGGCTGATTGAATGAAATCTCTTTACCATTTAGAGAGAATACGCTTACACAGTGATTGACATTTACTGAAGTAGCTCTTCACTTCTATTGCGCGTTAAAATGCTGTTTCGGATATTCGGCGAGGATGCTGATTAGCGACAATTAGATTTTGCTGATGAGTGTTTGTCGATTACAGCCTCTACCTACACGTTACACGTTGAACGAATTTCAAGGAACGTACGTTTATGAATGGCGTAGCAGTTGATACGAGTTATTTCTCCTGTTTTGTTTTTCATTTCTCTTTCTTTTCTCTTTCTTTCTTAATTTTCATCGTGAAACGAAGTAACTTTCTATCGTCGATCGTGTACCTGTATTACTCGTTGTTTTCCGTTGTATGCAGGCTGTTTTCTAATGTGAGATGTAAATTGTCCAGAACTAGACTAGAATTTTAAGTATGTTCAAGTATAATTGAACAACAAGGAGCATTGATACAATTTTCGTTAATTTTCTGATGGACAGGTTATTATTGAAACGCGTATGTATGTAAAACAAATTTCGAAATATAACATTCGAACAATTTAAATTACGTACATATTAGAAAACAGCCTGTACACAGTTCTCTTTTAGAGTTGAATTATCACGTAATCTTTCTCCTGAGAGAAATTTCGACGCTAGAATAACTATTTGGATTGTATCACGTTTCGTAGCTATCTTGTATGCTGAATTTAATCAGTTTGTTTGATTCAGTGAGACCATCCGACGAATTTATTAAATTTACCAAAAAGCTCGATTCTCTTCTTTAACAAAGTCGATTTATTCATTTCAATTGGTAGAAACGAAAATCGTAATCTATGATTTGCAAATTGAGCCGTATATACGCCGTAGATGAATCAAGTACGAGCTTAATTATTCATTTTCTCCATGCCCACGAGAAAGCCTCGAACTCTACGGAGAATTGATTAGTGATTTTAACGTACAAGCGGCAGAGGCAATTCTTTTGCAGGATACACGATTTTTTTTCAAGTGATTCTGTGAAGTGACGAGATTCGCTCGGCTGTTCGACTAATCGAGCTTTTACATTTCCAGTGAATTGCTCAATATTCGGCCGGAAAAAGAAGCAGTACAAGGATAAGTATCTCGCGAAACACAACGCAGTCTTTGACCAGCTGGATCTGGTCACCTACGAAGAGGTCGTTAAGCTTCCCTGTAAGTATCCTCCGCGATCTACTTCTTCTTGTTCTGTTTCTGAGGATTAAAATTTGTTCAAAAATTAATAAATTTTAATGGTGAAATGACGCTTGACAAAACTTGATGTTTTGAACGATTCAGTCACAAAAGTTCGCAAATGAAGATTAATGTGACGTTTAAATGGAATTGAAAGGTTTTGCGATCGACTGCGAGAATTGAACAATTGATATTTGTATCGAAGTATACTAAGAATAATTTGAAGAACGCGCGCGTGAAAGTATTTCGAATGCCTTAATTTTTAAAATTAATTCCAAGTTCTGTACTTGCTTTCTAAGGAAAAAAGTAAATTTAAGTGTTCCAGTACTTTTTTGAAATATCTCTCGCGAATGTTTATGCAACGATCTCTTTACAGATTCTGTATTCCAACGGAAAACGTTAGTGTTACTGGGAGCGCATGGCGTTGGTCGTCGTCAGATAAAAAATACCATTATTGCGAAGCACCCTGATAAATACGCCTATCCTATTCCACGTAAGTTCAAATTTGCATTTACTGAAATTTCCACGTACCCTGAACGCCGATATCTGTACGACGTTATTGAAACTCTGTTCACGTTAATCGAGCACGAAATTTCTGAAACAAATGCAAACGATACGTTGTACGAACAGAAATTTATAAATTAACAAACGTTAATGAAAAAAGGGGGAATAGCCGAATTGAAGCGAAAATCGTTTGACATTTCAGATACAACGAGGCCTCCACGGAACGACGAAGAGAACGGTCGCAATTATTATTTCATATCGCACGATGAAATGATGGCCGACATCGCTGCCAATGAATACCTCGAATATGGTAAATAACTAGATCGTTACAGAACCAAGCTCGAGTCAATGACTTACGACAGGCGACAACTTGTCTAGACTAATTTTCATCGTTTTGTACAGGTACGCACGAGAATGCCATGTACGGAACGAAACTCGAAACGATCCGGAAAATACACGAAGAAGGCAAAGTGGCGATATTGGACGTCGAGCCTCAAGCCTTGAAGGTGTTACGTACAGCGGAGTTCGCGCCTTACGTGGTTTTCATCGCTGCCCCGGTGTTCCCAAACATGCCCGATGTAAGTAAAGTATATCGATCGGTTGAACATCTTCCCGAGAGGGTGGAATCAAACTAACTACCCAACATCGGGTTAACTATCAAGTAATTGAACAATTAATCAAATTATGAAACTTCCGACGCTTACGTTTAATTCAATTTACTACGATAGATCAGATATTGTGAAGTATTGCTGGATAGTCTGGTAAACAATTCGGAATAATGGTAAGAAATTCCACGCACTTGAAAGTATGCAAGAACGAAATGTCGAAACAGATTGGAATAGGCAGAAATATATTATATATTATATATTGTAGTAAATTAATTATGTTATGGTAAAGACACGAGTTTCTTGAATCAACGTTTCAGTGCGACGGAAGCCTGGAAAGACTGGCGAAAGAGTCGGACTCGTTGAAGCAAGCGTACGGCCACTTCTTCGACCTGACCATCGTAAACAACGAGATCGATGAGACGATCGCACAATTAGAGGCAGCCATCGAGCGGGTTCATACGACACCGCAATGGGTACCCGTGTCCTGGGTCTACTGACAGCGAACCTCGCCAATTCGTCAGATCACTAACTGCAATGGCTCGTCGAACGTGAAACAGTGATCATCGAATCGCGATCCACCGAACGACCGGTCCGTTTACGATCGTTTAAACTGCGGCCAACGATAAATATTCTCAACGTCGCACGCCTGTGAGAATTCGCGGTGTTCGCGAGGGATTATCACGATGATGATGAACCGTGAATAGCGGATTCGTGATTAGCGAGACAAGCCGCGTAACAAACAGGTCGGACCAATCGAACGAACGAATTTACCGTCAATTCTTCGATCGATCCACACAACACGATATCGACTGGAATGCGTGACTTTGGCCGTGTGTTCATCGACTTTTTTCATTACTATTGAATTAACTCTGTAATTAATTATTGAATCGTCGTTATCGTTACACGACGCGGGTAGAGACGGAGAGACGAAACTGTCGAACGTTATCCCGAGGCGCAGAATACGACAATCAAAAAAAAAAAAAAAAGGAAAAGAAAAGCAGAGAGAAAACATACGTTCCGATTTTCGACATATAAGTTTTCATAGGACTGTAATTATTGCTTCCTCGATATAAATATAAGCAATACGATTTCTCGCGTTCCCTCGATGTATCGTCTCGGTTAATGGATCAATTCAACGAGTCGTCGCGCAAACGAAACGGTATTAATTTCCTCGTGCGATTATTTCCATCGTGCAGTTTTCTCTCTTTCTCTCCTCGCGCGTTTTCGCTTCTCTCTCTCTCTCTCTCTCTCTCTCTCTCTCTCTCTCTCTCTCTCTCTCTCTCTCTCTCTCTCTCTCTCTCTCTCTCTNATCTATCTATCTATCTCTATCTCTCTCTCTATCTCTATCTCTCTATCTATCTATCTCTATCTCTTTCTATCTATCTTCATTTCCTCTCCATCTCTGTTCCGTGATCTTATTTCTTGCATTTTTTCTCGAGACATTCCTCGCGCCACTTCTGACGCGCCTTACACGAATTTATCGCTATATATAGTTTTCGTCAGTCTGGCACGTTCTGTACGGTAGCGATGCAGAAAGAAAAAAAAAAAAAAACTAAAGCTAAACGATGCGAGTATTACCGAGTAGAATCAAAGACCGTTTTGCTCTTCGAGCGTCACACTACATCGAAGAGAATCATAATATTGGGAACGGTCGTTCGAGAACTGTTCGTGAATGTTGACCGAGTGGACACGCTTATACCGTTCTTTGGAAAAGAGAACCTGTCAATCGACTATCCGTAAACCTGTTATTGCCTCCTATCGTACTCTCTTATAACTATTTACACAAGATGAAGTAAAGAAAAGGAAAAAAAAAAGAGAAAACTAGGACCGCGCTGTCCGATAGTCCGCCACTGATATCTCATCGTAATAGTCAATCTTTGCCCAGTTCAAGTTTGAAGGTGAAACTTCAGGACTATCGACAGCTAGTCATTTATCTGTAACTTTAAGCTGTAGAGAAACTTCGCCGATTTCGTCTAGTACTTCTAACATCTGACAGGGGTTCATCCGCGTCGTGTCGCGAGACCGGCGGTGAACTTTCTTTGTACATGTATATGCGCGAGCGCTGTTCTTCTTTAGCATTATTGTTCTCTTTCCTTCTCTTCTGACTCGAACGTTTCAGTTCGGTCCCTGTACACTTTCCTGTACTGCGGTTTTAGATTTTTTTTTCTTTCTTTTCGCCGAATCTAGGACGTCGCAGCCGTGTGCATCTCCTCTCATCGGCATTATATATTTTCATTTTCTCGTTGTCCTCGAGCGAAGTCAAAGAGCATCGACCCGAATGCCGATCTGCCCGAGATCTGTCAGTCGGTGTTGCTTTTTGGTCCGAGTGGCGCGCGTCGAATGCGAACGTCTTAGAAACGGCGGCGATCTCAGAGCGAAACTACTTCTACCGTGATTTATGTTTGACACACGACACATACGTACACACATCTCAAATGTAATATCATTCGGTTCGCATTGCACCCTCGTACAAAGCGCATAATCGAATGACGAAGTAACAGAACGCGGTTTACTATTACGATATTTATAAACACGTAAACTCAAGTAAATAGATAGTCTACCAAACTATATGAAATAATACTAAACACCGTCTCGCATTAAAGAAAAATGAAAAAAAAAAGAGATATAAGGATAAAAGATACAAAAGTCTAGAACACGTACACACACGGTGACACGTGCATACACGAGAATACACGTAGACGCTTACATAAACATAACGCGACGTTTACATATACATAATGCAAACATGTTACACGCGATATATATACATATATATAAAAAGAATATATATATATATATTATATACAGAAAAAAAAGTACACATGGACAAAATAACACTGATACGTACACGGACAAGTAACGCGGATTCACGAGAAACAAATTTAACGACTAGTTAATTAATTAAAAGCGATTAAATAAATTAATTGTGTAACTAATTAATACTAAATTACTAGAAGACTAATAGAGAATTTGCATATGCAGCCCGTAGAGCGAAGGAATGAATGCGTGTACGTACGGGTATGGTGTGAATCTCTTGCATTCGCGATCTGCGTTGTGATCGACCCTCACGCGGCTTTGTTCAGAACTTGTTCAATTACAGCTCAACTATTTATAAAGATCTCAAAAGGAACATACGCACACGTAAACACATGCAACAGCACATACATACCGAAACAAAAACAAAAAAAAAAAAGAAAAAAAAGAAGAAAGAAGATAAAGAAACATACTTTAAATACATGTATACGTACATAACAGTTGCAAACACGTACAACACGCGTACACGTAACTACTAGGTTTTACTACGTTCTTCCTATTCAACACACCACATTAGTTATCGAGCGTGTAATTATTCTTCATTGAACGCGATATTTCGATGGTGGAGTTGTATAAAAAAGAAGAAAAAAAAAAAAGAGAGAGAGACCGATGCATCGTGCACGTTCTTATCGTTCTATCAATACCTTGCGGAGAAATGTTCATTTCTTCGAGCGGCAAGCCCACCAAATACACAAAGACAAGTCTGAAATCGTCGACAAAGAAGAAATAAACGGGAAAAAAGAGGGGGGAAAATAAGACGAAGAATAAAAGAGGAAACGTCACGTGAAACTTCTAGGAAAGCTCGTGTTGGTATGATCGTTTGTGTGTGAGTGAGAAACTATCGAAACGCAAGAAGAACGAATCTTCAGTGATTTTGTAATATTTCTTATAAGTTGTAGCTGCCATATCCAGTAAAATTAAGTACTAGGTGCGCTGGGTGATTATCTGACGACGACTGTTACGATAACGATTCTAATGGTGATGATGGTGATGATGATGATGATGATAATGATGATGATAATGATGATCATAATGATCCTACGTGCTCCTGCAAGTGTGTGTCCGCGACTTTGGATGAGTTACGCTAAGATGTTGAAAGACGACGGGTCTAAAGAAAACAATAACAGTTCATTACAATTATGTAATTATAAGTAAGAGAAAGAGACGAAGAGTATTATAACACGTTGTTAATTGAATTAATAAAACTAGCCCAAAGTGTCTAAAGCAGTTGCTGTTTCATCACCCTTTCTGCTAGTCTTTCAATCGTGCATAATGAAAATGAAATATCAAGAGACTAATTTACTAACTTAATCGTGTGTTTATTCATTCTTTAAAATTGAGATCTTCGTAGTTTCAATTCTTTCAACGTTTTTGTATTTCCTGTACTTCACAAAGTACTTTTATAATTACGTAATGATGAGTTAATAATGACAATTCAATTTCGATTTCAATCCTTGCAAGTATGATATAATTTATTTTTAAGAGAAATGAAGCAAACGATCTTTATTTGTATAAATATATAAAATTTTAATAAATTTACGAGATATACACTCACATCACAGAAATCCATTAGATAAGTAATCCAAATCTCGAGTCTTATCTATTTATTATGTCTTCATTATTAATCTGATTAAAACGTACTTAATATTTTAAGAAACTAACATCGGGATCGTCCGAAAGAAAAGTTTAGTGTTGTATATTTTTGTATAATTATTCACAGTTCCATACAACTCAATTGTATCTATTTTCCACCTTCCATTTTCAATTATCTTTTTAATACAATAATTTAAGCAACATTTGGACTAAGATGGTAGTCCCAATGCAAAATGCACCATACTTACACTACTAATCGTATCATAAAATCTATTTAGACAACATTTAGCATATTAAATTCAAGCACGTCGATGCTTCCTTTTCAGTGGGTGTTTTCGTGTCACATTGTTCGTTCTAAGTACTACCGATGGTGGGAGCAGCAAGTCCATTTCGGAAGTCTCTGTCTTGTTACACTGATCCTGGTCCATGGGAAACATGTACTCCAAATCGATATCATATCTTTGTAAAAGAACATTTGATCAGACATTGAACGATTTCTTTAACACTACAACTACAACAATAAAGTAACCAAAGTGAGCAATTTATAATCTTTATTTTGTACACATAAAACGATTTATTTTCAGGAATCTAAATGATTTTTTTTTGTAAAATGTATTAAATAAAAGCGTGTACTATTGTAGTATAAAGTGTTTCTATTTTTTTTTTTTCTTTCCTTTTCTTACTTGAATGTCTCTGATGGAAATTCTATGCTTTAGTTGTCGTTAGTGTTAAATAAAAGATAAATCTAATTGAATTGATGAATCTAGTATCATTGAATTTGATTTCAATTGAACTGATAGATCTAATATCATTGAATTTTATTTTATGCTATTGCTGTGATCCGAGTCTAACTCTTCCAAGTTTAATTCTAAGATTTTCGTATTTATCGTTTCACAAAACTACATAATAAACTTTTCCAATATTTAAACGTCTGCGATATTCTAGATCGTGGACATATAATTACTTTTTAAATAAATGCGCGTAATAAAACAACCGAATAAACTCCTCGGAGCCTTTTAAAATGTTGTGCATATGAATCCTGAATTCTGAAGTAGGATGAATATTTCATGAGCCTGCAGGTACGGTGTTAGATATTCGCTGTATTAATTAAATTCTCACATAGGCTCAGTCATCAGTTATCCGTGTTCAAAGGAAATAAAACCATGTCGTTACTCACCTGGGCAATTTCTCGCGAAGATAAGAAATAACGTTAGTTCCGAGACTCGGTTCTCGGCTCATGATGAAGCTCGATAAATATCGAGGACTTTTGCTTTGTTCCGCGCAGTGCATTAATAAAGCCCACGACTTGTAGTCCGAATCCAGTACGTATGTATTGTACACACCTTCGTCTACAAAACACAGAAATATTCTGTATCGACCAAGAGTTAAATTAATTTCGATGCATAGTTTTAAACGTAAATTGTTCTATTATTAGTGGACAAATCAGAGATAAATAATAATAAATAATAATAAAAAGGATCATAATAATAATGATAATATAATAGTAAATCAGAGATAAATAATAATAAAAAAAAGATCTGCGTTAGCATATTTTTAGAAGACGACCGAACACGATAGTTATCGATCGAATAGGAAACGACTGCGAAAAATAGAAAAGAGGAAAATGGATGAACTCCTCTTGTCGTGAATAATACGGATTGTGAGTTGGATAACTATAGAGTACGGTAGAAATCAAATTGAAAAGTTTTACTAGTGCATAGCGTAAAAATAATTTACAATGATATCTATAACTTTCAGTCGTCAATTGCATCTTTCTCAGAAAATGTTCTTATAATTCGTCAGTGTTAAAATTATTACTTCTCTCGAATATTTAATTCCATGATCATATTCTCTAAAAAGAAAATTGTGCATCGACAATTCTTGCTTCTTAATAATCCGAATACTGATATATTATGAATCGAACTTGATTTCTTATCTCTTAGAAGTTATTCTCATTTTTTTCTTTTTTTCCTTTCGTGAAAGATAACACTATCATTTTTTCCTTTAGAAAATAAACCCACGTATAAAAAGATAATTAAAACTTAGTTTAAGGGTTATCAACGTCGCTTTCTGTGTCAGAACGATATCAAACTCTTGAAATAGTCAGTTGAAATATTTCTAATATAAATATAATATTTACTTTTAATTAAAAGTGATACCAGCTATCGATTTTTCACCAGTTTGTCGTACAATCCTTTTCCCACAAACTACTACTAGAATCTAAATCTGTTCGGACATTAATGTATCATAATCAAAGCACACACACAAAAGAATTCTTAATACTTACACGGATACTCAGCGTGCACCCAGTGAGCAGGTAGCTCCGGAGAAGGAATTTTCCAGGTGATATTGCCAACAAGTTGCTCATTAATCGGATCATCGGTGAAACTGTAAGTGAAATTCATGGTAACCTCGGTACTTTCTGACGATATCGACAATTCGGCCCGCATGCATCTGTACGCGAGCGCTTCCTCCGAGCTTGCATAATACTGCACTATGTACCACGATCCAAGGAACTGCAAGAAATCCACATTCTTTGTAAATACAACGTAGGGAATGTATCTTCGTTGGTAATTTACGAAGCTGTTCACGCCTGATACTCGTTTTGTTGTTCGCGCTGTAACGTTAATCGGAACACTAGCCTCTCTAATGGGCTCACTGCGCTACAGAGAGTAGAGACCGAGTTCTGGAGCAAAACATAAATGCACGCGACGTTTAATAAATGTGTGCACGAGGGTAGATATTAAACTTTAAGTAATTCCGTTGATAGCGGAAGATGCGCGTACATTTATCTTTTAAGTTGTTCTGCCATTTGTATCTAGTGTAAGTACGATCTTGGTGAAAACAGTTTCCTGATTCTAAAGTGTTCGCTGCTTCGAATCAAATACACTTCGTTCCTTGAAGCAGCTTTTCACGTCGTCAAATATAATGCACGATTGATTATTTTGAACGATCAGGATGGATAGTCGATTCTACGAGTGATTTATGCGAAAGTGGAAAATTCGATATCCTAGTCTCGTGTAAACGGTGCAGAGAGGTTCATCGGTTTACGTGAGGCAGGTCGTGCAATCGTTGCCGCGGACTGTCATCCAGTTTAGCATGCAATGCAAAACTATCCCCCTTTCTCCCACTCGTGCATTCATCTCCTGCACGACGATCTATCTCTGTCTAGATTATCATTATTTCAGCTGCACGTCGATATTAACATGCCGTAGGCAAAGAACGAAAATTTACGTTCCATTCGTAGCTGATCTTTTTGTTAAATCCTTCCTGATACTAAACTTAGGCGCATGTGACAATTTTTGTAATTATCTTGCAATATTATAGATATGATATTATAGAAATTTTATACAAACATCTCCAATTTTATCGATTTATACTTATTTCTTCTCTTATTTCTACGGATGAAATATTATATCGTATACAAATTTAAATGAATAAAAATGAATGGAACTCTTAAGCTCAAACTTTAAATTTACTAATGCTATTTTTACTTAAATGGCTGCCAAGAGAAATGTCACATAGCGTATATAACTCGCTGCTTCCTGAAGTGACGAGATCATAATGTAGTAGCTATTCCCGTTATCAGTTATCCCGTCTAAGATTCGTGCAGAACAGTAAGTACTATACTTTCGTAAACTGAGATCCACGACTTTATAAATATTTCGTCATTGTTTGTCAATTTTGTTAATCATAAAGTTAAGAGAAAGCCGTAGATGAAACAATGTACATTCTCATTATTGTGTCTTCTATCAAGCTTGACAAGTAATAAATTAAGGCTTGAATTATACTTTCGTTGAAGAATAAGATTCATTATAAATTACGCGAAACAATAAAGCTTAAGCACGAAATTAAATTTACTATGAAATTACAAACGGATAATGATTCATGGTATAATCTGAAGTCTAAACTGTAATCTAAGAATAAGTCTCGCGTCAATGATTTTTGGGTTATCAATGAAACTAATCGATTCAGTTCATTGCTTGTCTAAACAGAGAATACCAAGGTTAACTTCTTATAACTTCTCCAAGATTATCTTATTTGTTACGAATGGTCATCGGATTTGTAAAAAGAATTTTTGCTCTCTTAAAAATTAAATTCATTGCGAGTATGAAATTACACAATTTAAATAATATAATTCTCAAGTATAATGAGAAATTTCTGAAGTTGAAGTGTTTGATTCAAAGACACGCAAAAATTCAATGGAAGTAAGTAGTTTTAAATGTATGCGACGTGTATGTCCGAAATAGCCTTCCCTTAAACACGTATAAAGTTCCAAAAATAAGTTGCCCAAAGTCTTCCTTTGAAAGAAGACTCGCGATATTTTACGCAAGTCTTTGTTTACTTAAGTCGCACTGTATCAAACGACATTTTCATTTAACTTTATCCTTTAATTAGGCACAGAAAAATTCCACGCGGCGACACATTTTTTTTTTTACAAATTGTAATTGAAATCGTAGCAGAAATCATAACAGAAATTGCAATACCACAAGGAAATTGCAATTTCTGTTATCACATTCGTACGCGCGCGGGAGTATTCAACAAACGCGTTCCAATTGCTCGTAATTATTATTATATATTCAACGGAATACATATTGATCGGAAATCAATCGTGATCGTCTCTTTATGAGAGATATGTAACTCTCGTATATCCAACGATTCGGTTTGAATAATTACAGAAAATTCAGCAACTGATTATTAATATTAACTGACATGCTTGACGTTTCATATTAGAAAAAAATTATTAACACTCCTTCAATATTTAATATCATATATGTGAAAGATCTATGATACGATAATACAATGAAACAAACTTCGTTGTTCGATTTGAAACTAATTCGCGATCAAATAAATCACTCGGAAACTAGATTCTTTCAAGATTGATTTAATTTTACAATTCTGCTAGAATATACGAGTAGTTTCACGAACAATAGTAATACAGCTTTTGCGGTACAATAAGGATTTTCGTCAACCAAACAATAACTACGTGGCACAGGACGTACCTCGGATATATCAAAATTCCGTATGCCCTTTACTTTGGGACATTTGGTCTTGTCCTCCCGCCTCTTCCACGTAGCGGTAGTGCAGTCGATCAAACTTAGGAACAACAGTAATATTATTGTCGGCGAATAGAATCTCTCTAGTCTCGTTCCGGGCTGCATTCTCTCGGCCACATTCAAGTCTCTATCCGTTCAAGCACACGCGGAGAGTCTTCTTACTTCTTCGCTCGATAGATTCGCCTGGTCGACTAAAGGCCACCGAGTCGGTTAGAATGAAGAGCGGACGCGCTCATGACTACCACTATCTGCACAAACTACGAAGAGGGGGTGGTCACTATCACGTTCCTCCCTTTGCATTCTTGCTGCTCTTTCGTTTTCAATCAGCAACTTGTTCTCCGCGTCGCGGGTACGATCCTCGTAACTGGCGCCAGCTCAGCTCAGGACTTCTGATCGTAGGCGTGATCGTCGTCACGGCTAAAGAAGGGCATCGACTGTTAGGCCACCTCGTCCCGCTTACTCTCTTACATCCGACTCATATGTTTGCCGTTTTTTCTTTATACCTGTATACCGCTCCGTGTTCAAGGTAAACGCGAACAATGTTCGCCGAAGTTCTATATCCGCGACCAACGATCGATAATGTTATAGTTGTTCGTTCGTTCCAATTAAAAGAATACCATGTACGAATGGTACTAGGATACGCGATCAGACGTGCGTTTGTTAGATTGCAATTAGATGTCTATGCCGTTTTGTATTTTTCTATACTACAGTCTGTAAATGGTACCGATATATTCTATAAAGATAAAGGAAAAACAAAACTCACTATATAATATGCTTTTGTGAAAATTATTTCAAAACTTCGAGATCTTTGACTGATGTTAATTGCGTATTTGAATTCGAAAAACTTGGATTTAAATCTATTATTAATTAATAACGACGAATGAATGCTAAAGAAAAGATACATTAATTTCATACATAATTTAAGAAATTATTGAAACTAATTGTTTAATATAACAGTATAATTATTTAATGGAATATATCGATACTTTAAATCACTGGAAAGAAAATTTAATACAAGTTAACGTATGCAATTGTGTGTGCAATTAAATTAATAATACGCTAGTATAAATATTATAGCAATACCACATTTTCCTTTTATAATTGAATGATTAATCTACAATCAGGAAAATTATACAAATGAAGTTCGATACCCTATTTTAATGAAATTTGTGCTTCGCCAAATTTACTTTTTGATATTATATATTCATAGTTGTTTTAATCCCACGGAGCTCCGTAATTAATGAATTTTAATTTCGTTAAATATAGAAAAATTAATTTTACTTTGTATTTTATTTCCTGTATAAATGAAAAATTAATCATAATGGGCATGAAAAATTTAACATAAAAGTAGCGATTATACAGAATATCAATTGAGTGAAATTAATATATTTTTGTATAATATACAATATTTTCACATTCAAATAAAATTTTTAAAACGTGATTTTAATATGTAATTAAATTAATGATATCCATTTTATCACCTAACTGTAATTCATTACATTAAGGAATTAAAAAATTCATTAAATGCATCAAGCGTATCATTACTTTGATACTTGTAATTTTCATTGAGATGAATGTATTGATTGAATGTACCAATTACCATATAAATTGACGTAGATTTAATTAATATGCTTCTTTAGACTCGTTGTATGTTGCGTGTTCTTCTCCTTCGCAATCACTATTCAAGAACCGTTGTCGATAAACAATTCAGTAAGAGTTCGCTGAATAACTTCGACATGCCATCTCGTTGCACGAAAACGTGTTCGAAATAATTTGTCATTCTATTCATGATTCATATTCATGGTATGTATGAGACAATATACAAATATCCTTTTAAATATATTTTGTACAATTGCAACTTTCCACATCTGTCTCTGTTCCGAAAAAGGTCTATTTTCTGTGAAAGATAAATGAGTCATAACATAATCAAAAGGTATTGTTCATGTTCAAATAATTCTAGCCTTTATGGCTAGTTGCCACTAAAGTGAATTAATTTTTAAGAATTGGAAAGCGATGACGACACGATAACTTTGTTGTTAACATTAGATAGTCGATTGTAGTTCCAAACTTATAAGATGTTGATACTTAAAATAGTCGTGGATTTCTTAAGTTATCTCAAACGATTTGTTTATGACTAATTAATGATTTTATTAATAAATAAATTCTTCTGAGAAAGATTTCTCATTGAATTATAATGTATGACATAATAACGTAGTCGTTTCAAAATGATTCTAAATGGGCGTATGTAAATTAACACTAATCTGACGAAACAGATACGTATTATCACTTACGTTTCTTTATCGAACATCCTTTTCCTCTAAATGATAGTTGGGATAAAAAAAGACTAGAATGAAGTTTGGGAAATAAAAGATTATTATTTAAAATGGAAGAATAGTTAAAAATGGCATTTATTTATTAATTATTTTATATAAAATATATTTTTTTTAATAAAAAATATTTGTTGTATATATTTTAAATATAGCTAATTAAATACACTGTATAGACATAATCTACTTATGATCCACTTATAAATACCATAAATTATTTCCATGGTGGTTTAACTTTTTGTTGTTCTCCTTTTGTTGATATCTTCTGTGAAACTGGAATAAATTCAATGGTGTTCTCAGTAGTCTAAAAAATATATAATTGAAATTTTATCTAAATCATAATATTTCAAAATAATATAAAATAAAATTATCTACTTCTGATATAGGTTGCCACATAATGTTATCTTCATTTGGTTCCTTTCTCAAATAATGTTTCCTTGGAACTTCCCTACATGTTAAAGGAGGACTTGAAATACTTCTTGTAATTTTTGGAAATTCTTCCTTTGCTTGCTGCATCTCAGCAATCTATCAAATACCAAATCTTGTCTTACATACAAATATACATATTACAATCAATTATAACTTACCATTTTCACATATTTTCGGAGATCATCCTTAGAATCTCTTTTACTAGTTAGAGGAGTTTCATCGAATGAAGTCGTGGCATATTCTCTTTGATCAAGAAAATTTTTCTCATCCGGTACATGTGACATTAATTTTACTGATTCCTGGGAAATCTTCGTATAACAATTTGGCATTGATTCAGACTTTCTTGGACCTTTCGATTCGAATAATTTTTCAGCATGAATTTTTTGTAGTGGTGTTAAATTTTCCATATTTCCACCTATAAATTAATATGAATTATATTATGAATAGTAAGGTTTAATATAATACTAATACTAATTCTACCTGATATAATTTGTAAGGCTTGTTGCCATTGTTTCTGCATTACTGAGTGAAGTTGTTCCGCAAGTTGAGATTTAGCAGCACGTTGAGATGTAAGTTGTGCTTCTAAAAAGGACGATTTTTGCAAAGCTTCTGCTAATTGAAGCTCACATAATGTTTTCTCTTCTTTATGCTTTTCCTCTAATAAATTTATTTCTAATTTATGCCTGAATAAATTGTAATAAATAATTATTGCCTTTCTTAAATTAACTCTAAAGATATAAGTTTTACATACTTATCTATAATGTCTTTGATTTTTCTAGCTGCGCACTCGGCAATAACTTGTTGTCTAGTTTTTAGTTCTTCAACAAATTCTGACTCAGCAGCATCAAGTTGAGTTTGAAATTCTTGTAATTTAACTTTTACTACTTCATCCACTTGCTTCTGGTAAATTTCTTGTAATTCAGATCTAATTTTCGCTTTTTGCTCTACAAGATATCTTGTTTCGTCTCTCGCTAATTTTTCTGCTTTTTTGATATCATCGAGAGTCGAAAGCAGTGAGGCATTTTTCTCTTCTAAAATTGAATTTCTATTATTTTCTTCCTTTAATTTCAATTGTAAATTTTCCTTTTCTTGTCTGAGTATAATCAATTCGGCTTCACAAGTATCTAGTGCTTTGTGAATAACATCCATTTCATTTCTAACTTCTCCACCTTTTAATCGTTCTTTGCGTAATTCTTGTTGAACCGTTCTTAATGTTTCTTCAGATTGTTGATTTTTCTCTACTAATTTATTATATTCTACTTTCAATTTTTCACATCTATTTTCTGCTTCTTGCACAAATGATTTATAATTTTCTAATTCATCTGCATGATTTTTTAATAACTTCACCTTTTCCTTCGTTGCAATGTCATTTTTTTCTTTATATCCAGCTGCAAGATCTAAAGCTTTTGATAGTTCACCTTCACAACGTTTGATCTGTGATTGAAACTCGGAAATTTCTAATTGATGTTTCTCTGTTACATTCTTAAGATTTGTTTGTAAAGCACTATGTTCAATTTCTAACACATGTAACTGCTGTTTCAATTTAGACCATGCATTATGAAATTGTGCTATCAATTCATTCTTTTCATTATCTACCCTCAGCGCTACTGCTACCTTCTCTTGCTGTTCTAGCAATCGCTTTTGCAGTTCTTGAATTAAATGTTCACAATGCTGCAAGCAATCTTCCATTCAATATTATAATTTATTAAAAATATAAAAAAATTGACAATAAACATTTATATACCTCCCGACGGAATTTTTCTTCTTCTAATTTAATTTTGTATATCTCTCCTTCTGTTTTATTACCATTACTTTCCCAAAAGTCTGATAATGACAGAAGCCTTTGGGATTTCCTGTAATAAAAAGTAAAATCACATCATTGTTCCTGAAAATTTTAATATTAAATATATATAATTTTAGCTATAATAAAAAATACCTTGGTAAAAATTCTGTATTTGTTGAAGCATGAGCAATATTCTTAACAAATGGTACATCATGTACTTGGTTCGTATATAGCACATTTCCATTTTGTTGCAAACTTTTATAAGACTCTGGTAAATATAATGAATTACATTCAGTACTTTTTGTTGCAGTATTGCATTGCACTAATTCATTATGTAATGAAATATCTAATTTCTTATGTATATTATTTGCTTGAGTATTATGCAGATTATTTATACTATTTACACTGTCCACATTTGAAATTTGTTGATTAATTAGTTCCTCTTTCTCTACATCAGTTGTTTTAATAACTGATTCAATATTGTTCGAATTCACTGATTTATCTGTACTTTCTATCTCTTCAGTCTTTGAAACTTGATATTGTGTATTTTGCTCCCATGTTTTAAATTCTGAGATTATTTTATCAGTCTCATTCATTTGAAATGAATCATTATATGGCAATGATATATCAGCAAAAACCTCAGATTTTTTGTTTGATTTTAGTGATAAAACATCGTGAGATTCACTTGAGTCATATGGCTTAAATTCCAATTTTCGAATAACAGATTGTCTATGTGTAGTGTCATGATCTTTGCTTTTAAGACAGCTATTACTCTCATTAGATAATGTACTATTTTGTTCCTTAATACAATGATGCTTAGAAGCCCTATTTATCCTTTTCGATAATTCTAATTCAGTGGCTTCCATCTCTTGAAGTAGTTCATCGACTTCAGAGAGTTCCATTTCTGGTATGCTAGTCTTAGAATGTGATTGCAGTTGTTCTGTTGTGCTAAGTAAAGTTGATGGCATTGAATGCAATTGTTTCGAAGGAAGCTTAACACATATATTATTTGTATTTCTACAATTAATTGAACAAGAATGGAATTTCCCTTCAGAAGAAGTAACAGTAACATGCGGAAAACCCACATTGCAAGCAGTAGAGGAAACCACCACAGGGGACTGGGATGTTAAAGAGTCATGCTTATATTCATCATGTTCATTAGCATTAGTTGCATTAGTACTTATAGACACAAAAGGACGATTCCCCAAGTTCATGTCATTCTGATGAGAGTTATTGATGCAGTTTGGCAATGAGTGACTATTAGGAGTTGATGGAACAGATAAGGATCGGCTAGGTTTTACAGGTGTATTTTGTAAGCCACAGTTTTCACTCACAGAAAATTTAGTTTTAGGTAATGTTTGCCTAAATTTGCCAACTGAATCACTCTGAATTTGCGATTCCAATGAATTATTTAAAAGAATAGCATCTAAGCTAGTATTGTTGGATTCAATAGCAGAAATTCTGCTTTCTAATGATTGCATATGCTCCACAAGTTCTGATATCACTCCAGTTCTTTTATTATTATAACGTTCTTTCACTTGATTAGAACAAACATCAGATTCTGAAGATGATGGTACAAGGAACAGGTCAGGTGGAATTAAGAGCAAAACATCAGTATCATCAGAATCACTCATCATCCATTTAAATTTCCTTTCACCAAAGCAAATCAAATCCAATTATCGTATACTCCAATAAAATTTATATGTACACAATATTTACACAATTTTTTATACATCCTTACAAAAGAGTAAGCAATGTAAACAAATAATTGAATTGACTACCTTATTCATTTAATAATAAGAGAAATATATAAACTTCAATGATAAGAAAAATTTATACGTATTTTTAAAATGATTGTCACTCATTGTTAGTTTTTCACCGATAAATTACATTATGAATTACATATTTTTAATAACTCGTAAACTAACCAAATAAATATTCAAAACGATGCTTCGTTACCGTGTGTTAACATTAACTAAAAAAGGAATAGATATGGCATTATGTGTGATTTCATGTTTCATGTTCTGAAATACCGACCGCAGAAAAAGTCTAATATTTTTTTACGCCCTCTGTGACATGCTACGGTGAATATAAGAATTATCATCAATTGAAACATAAAACTTTAACATTAAATTTAAATTGAGATTTAAAATTAAAATATATTTATTTGACATAGATAAAAAATTAGAATGTAGAGACGAGAAAAATTAAAAAAAGGAGTTTTCTATTTTTTGTATCTTCGAAATGCATGACTTTAGTTCAAATCGAGATTATAGCGCCAATGAGACAGGGAATCGCGATATCCAATCACAATTCATATAATTTTTGCAATCGATCTACAATCTATACTCTATAATATTGGGATGTGACATGAATGACGGTTTAAATTGGAAGTGTGGCAAGTGTCATGCAGAAATATTCGATAAAAATTACAATCAGTAATACTATTAAATATGTTTAGGATTTAAAACAGTAAGCATTGTTTCAAAAAGTCATTATATAATATTTAATCCAGTTAATCCAGTAATCCAGCAGTAAGTATAATTACTTCGCTTCTCCGGAGAAAATTAGTAAAATTTTATATGTACATATACTTTTTATATACTATGTTCCTACTTTATCCTGCATTATGCTGCATTTTCGCTAATTTCTTATAATAATATTGTTATTCTATGTTTTATAACAATTTGAATTATTTTCAGCAAGGGTTTGGGTGAAGGGGAAGAGTGGTCAACGGTTCGAATTTGAACGTACTACAAACAAGGCATGATATAATTACCTCGTCTGTGCTTTTACACTTGTTGCATGATATAAAAATAAACATCTTTTGAACGAAACAAATTCAGGATTGTTAAAATGGAGACTTCATTCTTCAAAATGAAATCAAATTAATGGTACTAGGATTTTTTTTCACGAAATTATAACAGTTTAAAGTATTAACAATTTTTTATCTAGTGTACGAATATTTCCGTTCTTTTTAAAGAATGTCTCATGATTTTTGTATATCTGTTTTAGACCAAAGTTTTTTAATTTTTAATTCGAAGTTATCATTTCGTAAAAACGGACGTCGAAACATGCGATAGCAGCGCCCCAACGGTGAAATATGTAATATATTTCCTACGAAATAATCGATATTTCTCACGATCGATTTTGAAAAGCGAAGAATGGCGGAAGGAAGCACGCCTCGTCTCTAAAGAAAAAAGTGTTATCTAGAAGAATTATCCAGAAAGAAATATCACCGAGAAGTTCTCAGGTAAAAATTTAAATCAATAGTTAGATTTGTATTTGTGTTTTGAATTTTTAAGATAAAACGTGGATTTTTGGCTCCAACTAATGGTAAGATTTAACCAAATAATTATTACATATAATTTTCAACAATTAAAGAAATTATAGCATATAAACATTTAAACAGAATATGCTATGCTAAATATTATTTATAATTTTATACCAAAATTTAATTTCAATTCTAATCAGTACAAATGTTGTAACCTTGTAATTGACTAACTCATTGTTACATATATATACACGTATTTTATTATATGTCTTTACCCACACTTCTATTACATTGTCTACTTATTTGTTGATTTTTTAACTTTATATACTACATAATTCTTAACAATTTCAATACTAAATTCGATCATAATTTATTAAGAATGTATGTCTTTAAAATAATAATTTTACTATATAATATAATAAAATATCTCATGTTTAGTTTAAAATATCGACAATTGCATCAAGTGTCTGAATATTTTCGTTCTTTTTTATTTTTCATGAATTTTGTGTATTTGATTTAGACCAGAGTTTTTTTATTTTTTATTCCCAGTTAACATTTCCTGCGAAACGCGCGATTACAGCGCCACTACACGGTGCAATATAGTTCCTATAATTCTCGAATCATGATCGATATTCGTCACGATCGATTTTTAAACGGGGAACATGGCGGAAAGGAACACGTCTCATCTGTGAAAGAAGAAGGAAATTTTATCCAAATTTTATCCAAAAGAAATCATCCAAAAAGAAGTATCTCAAGTAAAACTATAAATCAGTAACTGTTACATTTATATTGTGAATTTTTAAGATAAAACGTGCATTTTTGGCTTCAATTCAAGGTAAGATTTAACCAAACTATTACATATAATTTTCAACAATTAAAGAAATAATTGCGTATAAACATTTAAACAGGACATACTATGCTAAAAGTTATTTATAATTTTATACCAAAATTTAATTTCGATTCTAACCAATAAAAATATTGTAACCTTGTAATTGACTAACTCATTATATATATATATACACACACACACACGTATTTTATTATATGCTTTTACACACTTCTATTACAACATTTTCTACTTATTTATTGATTCTTTAATTTCATACTGCAGAATTTTGAATAATTCTAATACTAAATTCAATAATAATTTATTAAGAATATACGTCTTTAATAGTTAAAATAACAATTTTACTGCGTAATATAATAAAATTTTCCATTTCTCAAATAGGTAAAGCTAGAAGGCCTTGAGGCCTTCGAAATTCGTAGTACAAAACAACACAGGCTTATGTGTAAGGCTCTTAATAAACATTTTCGACTAAACATGTCGAGACGTGCCTGTTCGTTCAAGATCACCTCAGTGCTGGACGAGACGTGTCGCGGAGAATCATTCGGCCATCGAATTTCATGACAACAACACGCATTACGCCGCATTAGGTTCGTAATCTTTTCTAATCTATCGGTAGCGTCGTTTGTTCGATACTCTTTTACTTCCATTTATACCTCATTAATAGTATCATTTAATTAATATGCGTGTGTAACGATTAATTGAGCATTACGGTAATGAAATCGTATAATACTTTGAAACTTTTCGCGTCGATTTTTCTTCAATCGTCGATTTCACTCGTACGGTTACCGGTAGCTTATCTCATACATTTCTTTAGTAGAATTTGATTATCGTTACATTTTTATATGTTTGCCTTCATTTGACATATTTGTTCTAACTTTTGGTTTCTTTTTGTGCAGATTATTCCTTGATTCCAGAGATAGAATAGAACACATAGACACCACGATTATTAATGAACAATCTGATATTCTTTGATGGAAATTTGGTAACATTTCACTTATTTTAAGTATACACAAACGATTGATGCGTAATTAAATTCAAAGCAAGGTTTCACACGCGTCTTTTGTAATATTATTTCTTTCGTAATATTATTTTTGAATACTTATAACACTTGATGTGATATATTATTAATGTGCATGTTTCCTACTCTAATAATGAACATTCAGAATACAATACTCGTCTTCTATTTAGAGTATTCAGTATTGAGATATACTTTATAATTTACAACTAATATCTTTAATACATATTCAAGTTTCTTCATCATGTTCACAATCATGTTTTAGAAAAATAGCAGTATTTCCTAAATAAATTATCCTTAGCCCTCCTCCAACTAATCCAACTTTATTTTCAGAAAATTTTAGTGACCGCGCGCAATGCGGTCGGTAGAATCAGTGTTTGTTGCGAAATATTTTTATATTTTTCTAAGCAAAATGGCTCTCATTAAATTAAATAATCGATTCATTCAAATTATAATTCGCGAAATTAGAGTCAGTGAGTTCGTTGATTGTTACTTAAATACGCACGTTGATAGTCTTTTATTTTCCTTTTTTCATATTTTTTCTTGTTCAACATTCGTTTTCGGTATTAGAGTCAGTGCTCAAGAGGATAGCCTCTTCAGGAGATTAAGATCGTAAGTAATTTTATATGTTGTACCTCAATTTATTCAATTTTTCAAATTTAACAACGAAGTATAATGTTTGATGTTTTGTTACAGATCTTCTACAGTCTCCACTTCCCCTAATCCTCCAAGAATCATATGATGCTTCAAAAGCTAAAAATGTAAATACTTTAGCACGTTGTATTTAAATTTTATTCTCTATAGTTTTCTTTCTAATGAAATCGAATGTATAATTATAAAATAAAAGCACTTAAAATTATTAGTCCCAATTTTTATCATTATTAAAATTTAAATTTTCACAAATAACATTGTATTTTTAAAAACAAAATATTTTGTTTTTTAAGAAATTTTTCGCGGCGTTCACCATGGAATTCTCAGTGGTGTTTATTTACGGAGAGTCTTCACAATTACTTTTCCTGCTTCAGTGCAGCATCGATGACAACGTTCTTCACATTTATCGCGTGAGTCGCATGCATTTATGTTCCTCCAGTCACTCAATCATGTCGTAGGATGAAAGGTCCGAATCGGCACGGGTGACTGGTTGTATACGTAGAATTTTTGATGAGCATAGTGACCACGGGTATTTTTTATATCCGTGAGTAGTAACATTATTTTTATTTTCTTATGTATTAGATCAGGATAGGACTTCTTGCACATCGCGATTTTAACGATTAGTTTAAATATATACAGTTAAAGTAATTATTTGCAAAATCAAAATATATTCAATGTAAATGTTTGCAAAAGCAAAATATCCATATGAATAGATAAATTATAAATAATTATTGTTAAAATGATTTCGTTTGAGCATTTCGTAGCAGAGAAGACAGATATCCTCCGACTTCGTTGCTATGAAAGATGCAATTATTATATATTGATATACTGGTAATATATCTTGTTGTAATAATTAATAATTAATTATTAATTTAAGAATTAATAATTTTCAACTTCAGCTTTCCTTTTATAATAGTATTAGATGATTTATTGAATTTTATAATTATGAACTTCAATACAGTTTGAAATATATAATAGATTAGAATTC